GCCCACCCCCCGCCCCCATCACCTGAAGCTCTCACACCCACACATTACGCTTTCACCCCCATGTTTAAGAGTTCGCAAACTGTTCACTACACGCTACATTATACATATTGCTACAAAATAGCACGTAATATATATTTATAATCCTGTTGTACAATTACACGTAAAACCTCACATACATCACATCTATCTATAATGGATGTTCTCCTCTTATTTCAAATTAAATCCTCGATGGTCACTTACCCAGACAACAACCAACTGTAATATTTTATACCGTTCTTACATATAATTGCACAAACAATCTCATACACACGCTACCAATGTCCCTACTTTGCCTAGCCATTCTCCCATATAATTGCACAAAATATCTCATACACACGCTACCAACGTACATGACAAATTTGCACGATGTAGAGAATTTAATGCACGCAGGATGACTAACCACTGACAAGATCGCTAATCGCAATCTACACCGTCACGAACTGATATGACTGACCAGAATTTGAAATAAAATGGATATCGCAACTATAACCAAATACTCATTGAACTTATGAACGCTTAGCCTGTCTTAAGTGTCTCTTTTCCAATGGATAATTCAACTTTCTACGTCTACGAAGGATATACCATTTGCAATTGTCACTGTAACCTTGTTTTGCTTAATGCTATAGAACTTTAAGACACTGAATCCTGGATCGTAATACTTAAACAAAAATTAGGGAATCATCATATCTCTGGACCGGTACATTTTCATATTTGTCTTCCTTCAGTGGACTTTATTTTCGATTATGATAATTTAATGCTTCTTTTTTCCATACTAAAGTCGCTTCAGTATTCCTCTGGTGCTAGGATTGTTAGCAGTAATTACGTATATTTGTTAAATAAGTTATTAGATCACCTAATACGCTTACAGACGAACGTGTATCCACAAATTTAAAATTGTAAAAGCCAGATTTCACACCACTGAGTAAGCACCTTCCCCCACGTACAATCATGCTTTGTAGTCTTATTACTAATTTCTCCCCAAAATTTCTTAAAATCTATCTACGCCGATTATGTGCTAACCTCACGTTTTTATTTTTTTACAAAAAAAAGGGGAATATGATAGTAAAAATCGAAACAGTATTTGAAATGAAATAATTTTTATGCCTATACCACATACCCGTTTGTGCTCAGTGATGTTTTTTTGAAAGGATTCGTGAGATCTTGTCATGAAGATTTATATTAAATCTTACTTTAAATATTACAATGAACTGTTATTACATGGGGTTATGACTCGAAATGTTGGCAAAACAGGTATTGAAAGGTAATCGTTATTTTGCAAGGTTGATTGAGATCTTCTTATGATTTTTTTTTCTTAAACGCTTCCTGAAATAATACAATAGATACTTCAACCTTCTGGTGCTAAGCTTGATACGCCGCGTGCAATTGTCAGACTATTATCCGAAATATCAAAAAATTTTCAGAATGTTTTTGGTTTGATGGTCATTGTTCAGAATGTTTCTGGCGTACTAGACTATTGCCCCTCTAGGGTTCTACAATTTTCAGACTATTATACAATAAACGCCTGTATTTGTTTAATGTCCGTATCCTGGATAAATACATTTACGGGCGAACGTTTATCCGAAATATCAAAAAATTAAAAACCTGATTTCATATTACTACATGGAGACCATTCATCGACGATCAGTCACGTGCCCGCCCCTACGAAGTAATTCCGAACAAATTAACCTTCCTCATAATTAAAAAAAAAAAAAAAATACTATCAAGCGTCAGAAAGCGACGAAGCAATATCAAAGAAATAATTGTCATGTCTACAGCCAATACCCAATGCGATCATAAACAAAAAAGTTCTGACTGCCGAAATCATTTTTTTCATAGTGTTTTATTCACTATTGCAAGTGGTTACCCCAGCCGTCAACTGTTTACGTTGGTAAACCATGTGCAAAGGTCTCTTCAGCCTTCAGATACTCACGTTGTTATAAAACTATGAACGACTATTACGCTGGAGCGTGGTTCGTAATCGACGTAACTTCTACACCGCTTACCCGACATAAGTTTGATTGTATCTGCAACAATCTTTTCTTTGATCTGTAAGTAAAGGTCACTTCAATTTACCCCTTTCCTGAATGATGTGGCTAAGATGCTCTACCCTTATGGCTACCCGTAATATTGGTTTTCTTAAGACAGATCATATGGACTAGCACCAAGCTATACGATGATATGGCTAAATACGATAAAGCCCGCATGTTTAAAACCATACGATCTAACATATCATCGATAGTCCACATATAACACTATAAAGTTTAATTGAGATATACACGATGTTTTTTGCTAGAATCGGTTAAAACCGATAAGGTCATGTGTGCACACGGATACGTTCTGGTTCTGCCCCGCAATGGTTTGCAAAAAAAACCCAACCTATTATACCCATACTCATGTTTTTCTGCGTTCCCTTGTGATTTACCTAATACGACTATACCCACATCAGTTCATATAACACCCAAGACAGTGACAACATATACCGTGGGTCGCTGTGTCTAATAACGAATTATATAGTAATATGGCTAAATACGATATAGCCTTTACAAGTAATACCCTTCTCTACGATATTTATTTAAAAGTAATGACACCTACACCAACATATGCCATAGCTTGTTAAATCCCGAATGAAATCCCCAGTTACGACTCAGCCCGTATGGATAACTCGCGGTGTCCAAGAGATAGGCAAATATAAGAAAACTTCTCATTGTCATTAATAGCCTCGGTTGACGCTTTTTCGAAATTCGCACGGTGGCTCATTTCCACAAGGCGCGCAATTACGCCCAAGGTTAAACTTAATATTACCGATACGTACTTCCAATTATAGAAAAAGGCTATGATAATCTACCCCCCACTACGTATTTACACAACACCGTATGAACAAACTCTCTCACATACATTTACTAGTCATGAGAACAGTTAGACGATACCCTCCCTTAATATATGCGCACATACTCGCAAAACAAACATGCTTAATGATTCTCTAAAACCATATACATATGACACACGTGGATATAATAATAATGAATTAAATACCCTAATAATCACGCGATTAAGCAAACACCCACATACGAAAACATATCAGCACACACGAATTAACAAAACCATACATGCACGAATGCTCTTCTCACGATGGACATTTACGTGATCACTCACATAAGGCATACGCATTACACACAGAGTTTTTGCAGTATGCTTAAAGCAATATCGATAGCAATGCGATACACCTTCGTCCACCCCGTCGATGATTAATTAAAATAGCGTACATTAAAAATCACCACACAAATAAAGGACTTCTTCGAAAAACTAGAACCTAAACCTATAATTTCTTTGATAATAGTATTATGATAATAGCATGTTAAACAAGCGCCGATGACGACATATAAAAAAAAAAAAAAAAAAAACACCCGTTTGCACATATACGCAGGTTCGCAGCCTGCTCTGCAAACTGGAAGACGCATTCAAACCGAATTTCCAAAGATCAACATAAAGATACGCGATTACTAAAACGATCAAAACACAACAAATAGAGATTCGTCTGATATTAACATAATATCAAATATACAGATATGCACAAAACAATATGGCTTATCAAAATGTCCCAGAAAAACTCAAAAGATTTCGCCAAAAAGTAATGAGATCGTTCAGACCATTATAAAAATTGACTGGACCTTCGGTTATTGATTGCAAAAAATGCACAAGTCCATTCTCAATCTCTTAAAATGTACGATACGGAACACTGCGCACCCACATAGCCTGTGCAATAACAAAAAGCACGAAATAGCGGAATGGACATGCTAAACACACTCTTGACACAGTTTGACAATATTTCCCACACCTCGGCCTTGCACATATACACCTATATACCACACACTAGGCACTCCATACACTAGAAATAAACATACTCTGCCCCACAGAATACTCACATCTGCCCCTACTCTGCTTCTCGGCAGAATCCGAACGCAAGGAACCCCATAGCACTCCCTAGCTCAGATAGACTATTAGTTAGCTGATATGCCTATACGATGCTCTAACCCCGAGGACATGCTGAAGATTAAGTCATCAAAATATACAGCCTTGTAACTAATGCTGACTACATAACCGAAACGTGTGCAGGATGAAGAGAGCATCCTCATGGGATGGCACCCGGAGCTTGCTGCTACCATCAGACCCTTTGCATCACTACGACCGTCCATAGTGCACTGCCAGATCGCCATGCTTGCGATCCCTGCAGATGTCTTACTGCAGGTATATGAAGCCACGCTGGGACGAGCTTCATTCCTGATTGAAAACCTCTCTTTCAGCGATTGGGCATCGCTCGTCCACATCATGCAAAGCAAGCCAGAGGAGTTGGACGCCAAAATTCGGGACTTTGCAAGCAACATCGCGGATTCCTGCAGAAAGGCGGTTATTGAGAACAGAGAACAAAACCTTATCATAGCCAAAGCTGAGAAGATCATTCTCGAGCTACATGGATATGATTCTTCACACCTGGATTCCGCAGGACAGGTCTCCATCACTGAGAGAACCGAAACCTTCAGCAAAACCTACATTAATCGTATGTCACTCTCGCAGCCCGAACTCGAGTACTTCAGGAAGAAGGAGGCTGAACGGAGGAGCAATGCACACACTGAGCATACACCGCTCACAAGAGACGCTGGACATAAATATGCAAAGAATAACCTATTTTTACTGCTCACATCCAGCACCTGGACGGAAAAGGTCGTGCAACGCGTCCATAACCGGCTCTGGAAACTTGACACCTTCAACTACACTGAGCCAATCAGTGTGGAAGCGTACATGGCGCTTGCCGGGATCACAAACGCAGAAGTAGATAACTGCCGTGCTGCTGCGAGGAATGACACTATCTACTTCCCTGCAACAAGAGGCGGTTTAGACGCAGAATTCCCGCCAATTGCCAGTCTCGAGAAGGGGAAATGCCCAAAGAGACCGCTCCTCCACCAAAAAGGCATCCCGAAGTTCCCCGCAGATCTTTCTGAGTTCAAAAAGCTCTTGAACGCAGGAAGGCCATATCTGAAGTGTGCATGCACCAGATGCGAGAAGAACTTCACATGTTTCGATCACATGATTTGGTATGTCATCGGGAACCTGAACAAGATCGACCCTCATGCTCCATCGGACAAGATCAGGATGCTCGAGTTCCAAGCACTCCTGCGAACAACATGGAGAAAGCCGATACTTGCGCAGATCTCCTTCATCTTCATGAGAGAATACATGATCAAGATCGTAAACCTTCTCACACAAAACAGAAAGATCTCTGCAGAAGAAGTACTGGAGCATGAAGACTTCAGAAACGTGCCATTTGTCCAAAAGTTCGCTGCTGCCCTGCTCCCTGGCATCGAAGGGCTCCTATCACAATTGGCAAACACGAGGCCCTACACAGATGTTGAAGACAATTCGCTGAGAAGATGTAGGCAAATGAGACTCGGCAGCACGCCGATCTCAAATGCCTCGCTCACCACACCGGTCCAAACGACAGCCACCACTCCAATACAGCAGACACATATTGGCAACACGCACACAGGACAGTTTCGCACCTCGACTAGCAACAGGCAAGGTACCAACAACACTCCATGCCGAACCACTCCCACTCTTGCACCAACAATAACCATGACAACTGGAACTGCAGCACACGCAATGCCATTGCACATAGGCGGATAGACACCACAGCATGGCACAGCGACAAGCGCACCATATGGAAGCACAATGCCTGTAAACCTGAGTGCCACAGCAAGTACAGTTACCCACGCAATACACAGCACTGAGAACAACACAACACCCAACGTCAACAACAACACTGCCCCCGAGCCGCAAAGACACACAGTCGTAACGAACGCAGGAACCTCGCACAGACCAGCAATAGAAGACTTCGCCCAGGCACAGACAAGAGCTAATGCCTTTGCAATTGCTGCCGTACAGCTTGCTACACGGCAGACCAATGTAGCGACCACTAGCAACGCCACCCCCACAATCGCCACCACTGTTCTACAACCTGCAACAAGATTAACCAGCACTACACACACTGGTTGCGTAACCCCTGTGCACAACCAAACCATATAACGCACAACACACATTGTTGCTAACTCTGAGCCTAGGTCCACAATGTCACTTCCGACACACCTGAACACACACATGAACAACCAAACGGTCGCAGCCCCCACTGATAGCCAAAGACAGGCTCGTCGGCGAGAACAACTTCTTAGTATAGCCATGAATCCACTCCCAGTTGAGGCCAGAAGAAACTGTAGAAGAGGTAACAGAACGCAAAAGATGCAGCTTCCGCAGGTAGGGACACAGACCGGAAGACAAATAAGAAGGAAGAAGCCGCAGTATGATGGAAGACATCGAGACATACAGGAAGCCTTCCTGGCTCAGCAACTACGACGACCGATGATTGCAGCTTGCCAACATGCACCATCACAAGATGCAGCCGGGACAACGACTGTCCAAGCACCAACTAGCGCTCTGAGGCTACCAAGAGGAGAACAAGAATGGACGTCACATGCAGACTAGATCCTGGGACAATGGGCGCAAAGGGGCATAGCTGCGGTAATCCCCCCCTCAGAACGACATGCTGCAACAAACCTTGAAGTTATCCAGGTCAGCAGCTGCGACATTAATGACGGAGAGAGAAGACAACTCCTCATCACAATCAGCTCTCCATCACCAGACACCCCAATCTGTCCTATCTCTGGTATCGACGCCCTGAGAACAAACTATGGAGCCAACAATGCGGACTCTTCGCTGCTCCGAACAATCAGTGGAAACACGACGCATATGACCGAGTCCCAATCCTCATAGGAGTCTTGGAAACGCGTCTGCCGAAGACTCAGTCCAGAGTACCAATACAGCTTTCCTAGCATCGCTAGAGGCTAGCTCGACAAGGAACTGCAACAGATTGCAGAACCCTGGGTAATCACTAGGGTCACTAATTAGATCCTGGGCAGTCACCATGATCGCTTATTAGAACCGGTGCAAACGATACTTTGTAGTACAAGTATACAGACGCTTAGCTGCTAAAGCGGAACAGACTCATTTGGCAAGGCCACCCCACGTAGTTACAGCTGAGAAAGCTAAACCGACTGTGACTACTGGCATATAGCACCTTTTGAGGAAATACGATCAGGACCACTACGAGTTCTAAACAAACACTAGAACAAGTGTTGTTTTAGGACTCAATATTCTCTTGGTTACTAGAAGACCTACGAGTATGGAAAAATGAACCCGTTCATAATAGCAGGATAGATCCAGGTGGAATTGTTAGGGCCCCCTGTCTCGTAGGTGTTCTTAAGTTAAATAAGGGACGCAATTGTGTCAATACATATGTCCGCTGGATAACAATTTTTTATCTATCTCCGAAGTGCGGATGTGTATTTGGATGGGCGAGTATCTGTGTCCCTGGGTCTTTCCATACAGCTGTGTGAGCACAGCTAATGGCGTAAGTGAGTCCATGCTGGTGTGTCTGTGTCAGTGTGGTTTTTTTATTTGTCTAAATAAGTCTGTGACTATGGATGTACACCTATGAATCTGTCCTTGTGTCTAACTGAGAATCTATACGAGTAAAAACGTATTATCTAACTCACTAGTTCCTTCTACTAACCTGAGAATCCGTCCTTGTGGCTGGCTGAGAATCTATACGAGTGAAAACATATTGGGCTACTTAATCTGACTCACGTATTCCTTCTACTTGCCTGCATGTCCACATTCTCTAACTTCGCGAAATACCGGATTACAGATGAACGAAAATCTACGTAGTTGTCCTAACTGTTCCTCTACAATGATGCCTTGACTGTGCGTGTGAATAACTATGGGTACATACGGGTTTGTATGTACGCATGAATATCTAGAAGCAGTTGAAGACATAAGTGAGTCTATTCTAAAGTGTCTGTATCGGTATGATTATATACATCTCTCTCTGTGAGTATGGATGTGCTCCTATGAGGTTGTCGCTATGTCTGTCTGAGAATCTTTACGTATGAAAACGTAATTGGCTACATATCTGACTATATACATCTCGGATGTTTCTTCTGCTTACTGACATGTCCCCATCCTCTGACTATGACTATGAAATAGATCTGGTCATCTATGAATACAGGAATACAGTTTGACGAATGTCTACATACGTCTCTTAACTGTTCGTCTACATCGGTACTCTGGCTGTGCGAATGCATAACTACAACAGAAAAATTTTCCGAAATTAAATAATCATTCTATAGTAAAATTACATTCTAAATTTTAAATTTTCATTCCATCTTAAAAAATGTCATTCCAATTTTAAAATTTCTCGTCTTACTTTAAAATTTTCCTTCCAAGAATGGGGTATCCCGTCTTATTTGAACTGCATGCTAGAGATGGAATGAAAGTCTGGATGAGTTCATGAAATATTTTAATTGGCCTGTCATTCTAAGTAACGATTTTCGGTCATAAATATGTTAATCCAATCTAAATTAGAAGATATTTGTTGTAGTATAATGAAAGTTTAATTAAAAATTTTCATAAACTCGTCCTGACTTTCATTCCATCTTGAACAAATAGATGTAGTTGGAAAGGAAAACTCATATTTAGACGAGAATTTATAAAAAAAAACTGAAAATTTTAGAATTGGACGAACATTGGAATGATAATTTATAAATACGAAGGATTTTTTTTTTAAGGAATGTTTTTTCAACTTTCATTTCTCGTGGGAATTTTTCCGTTGTATGTGTATACCTGGGTGTAAATATGCGCATGAATGTCTGAATGTAGCTATAGATATGTATGTGCACCTGTGAGTCGGCCCCGGTGTCTGTCTGAGTTGCTATACCTATGAAAATATTAAGTTGCTTTCTGAACTATAATTCTCAGTACGTCTATGCATAAATTTCTCCAACTTGTCTGCATGACCACGTTCTCGGACTATGCCTACGTGTTTCATTTGGTTATCTGTGATGTTTGTCCAGCTGACTCTGCAGCACCTGATGCATTCCAATATGCGTTTTTGAACATATGCATGTGAGTCCACCTGCTTATAGATGGCTGAACATGTGTATGTTTTCTGCGATTGTGTCGAGCTGAGTACATGTCAGTGGGCCAACCTGAATGACTGAAAATATTAATGCCCGCTGAAAGACCGTCTATGTTGATGCATATTCATCCGCGCAGGGCTAAGCGTGACTGTGTGGCTGATTCGAAGCATATGCAATTATAGAACATTTGACATAACCACCCCAACATGTGCCGTAAGTATTGTTTGAAGTAAATACTTATTTTTCCTGCACCACTTGGACCAGTAATTATATACACGCATCAAGACATCAAATGAAGTCTGCAACTCTGCGATAAGCCACACACATCACCAAGAAACTAATAAATATATAAACGATAAAATCAATAAAGACTACCCCTACCAAATATAAACTAGAACACATGCACTATATGCAGACCCTACCCACGCTACTGACCGACTACCCAGCACACCTAGGATAAAATTATTAAATATAACCTTCTTACCACCACTCCCCTCCGCCTCCCCTGAAACATCACTAGAGAGAACGCAAAGGCATTCCCCTCACCTTGGATTATTGATAATAAATCCAAACTCGTTTGCCCAATTGTCCGGCAAAATGTGCAGGTACCACTACTTCAGACAATGGAGGACGCAAGGCTTGGCTGGAGAGCAAGAAAGGAGTCAGACAAACAGATCATCTCCTTCCACCATACGAACCGGATAATGGACCGAATTAGATTCAAAAGTATCTTTAAACTCATATTGGAAACACATAACCCAGAAGCCATACATGTCCTGGATAAATTCACCTTCTCATGGACATACATTGACCATATAACTAAAACTCTATACAAACCTGCTGCGGTTTTTCGGGACTTCAAACTTTCAACCTGGATAGAACAAATCCCAAACAGATGCTTCTGCCAACAATCCAGATATAGAGAATTTACCAACGAACTCCCAACATACATACTGCCCGAAGGAGAACAACAACATGTCACTACATTAGACCTTAATATCTCGAGCAATGCTAACCTTCGAGGCATAATGAAAAATGGACTGAACCATATTCCACCCGCTCCACTAAATACAAAAGAGGTACTTAATGCTGTTGAACAAGTATGGGCGCACATCACTCTAGCCCTCCTTAAAAACGGTACACCACTAAACCACATACAAGAAAAGCTGGCAAAAACAGACTTTAATAAAATGATCAATCGGAATCTCAAAAATATAACCACCCACAAAGTAATAAGCCTAAACGATCACGCCATCAAACACGAAATTAGCTTCTTAACTAAGTACTTTTACATATCTGGTGCTGACAAAGCACCCGACACCCCGGTATTCACCTGTATAAACCTTATAAGATACCTCGCACTCCAAAGACTAAGCAGCCCTGATTTCGAACAGCATGATTTGTCTGCTGCTGAGCTGCTACAAATCATGAAATATCAACTAACAGTAAAGTTTCCAATTATCCCGATTGGTAAAATGAAAATACCGTACTTATTTGCCACTTATAAAAAACACAAGAATTCATTTTGCTGGTTAACTAATGCAGCAGACGTCATCTCCATAATACTTGTTGACCTAGCTGCTGCGGTGCTTGGGGCCTTGATCCGAAGTGTGAAAACCCACTGCAGCATACTAACACAAAAAATATTTACAGAAACAGAGCTCAAAGTCCCTTTTTGGTAGTCGATAGACTCAACACCGGACTACACATACAACCTCCCACAAAGAATTTTTTCTGTCTTTTCA